GTGAAAATATCAAATGGCCTGAACGACAACAAAAGGCAAAAATGGCTTGCCAAGGAACGTGTTAAAAATCGTCTCACGGGAATATCAAGCGCGACGATATTTATAGCTATAAATTCTGATGGAACGCTATGTGTACATGCGTACGCCGGAAGTAGTGAGAGACAGACGTGGGAAACAGGCGCACCGCGAATCTATAATGCCGTTATTCAGCCGTAACGCAGCCTGCAACGGGCAGCGAATGCATTAAAAACGATATCAATTTCACCATCCTGTCTGTCATCTACATCTCCGTTTCAATGAAAATCCAAGACCAAAGGAAGCCACAGAAAGCTAGCAAAGTAGTTCTTCGTTTAATGAAATTAAATAGAAAAATTCGAAGAGTCGTCACACAACGTGGACGAAAGTTGGTCCTCGTTTCCTTCTTTCAGCAAATAAATACGACAATTTTTGGGATCACATTATTGTTCTCGATATTCAGTTATTTTTGAAACATGATCTTTCGTTATTCGGATAAAATTACGTATTTTTGATTTATTAAATGTAATACGAAACTAGTTTTGCAGTGATTAAAAATATTTCCATGTATTTGTGAATACAGTGCCGAACAAATTGTTCCAGACCAAATTTTCTTTTATTCATAAATTCAATCTGTTTCTAATTAATTATAATTTATATTAATTGTATTATATCTTAATCTTTAATTAATCTGTTCTTTCATCTTGCTCCTCAAACACGTATTTGAAATTCCGTAACAGATAAAATCGGACACAAAATCATAAAATATTAAAAGCAACATTAGTGACATTGACACTACGAAATTCCTAAAATTCGTTTGATAAAAATGTTGCATCTTCCACGTTGCATCTTCTATGTAGAAGTTATGAAATTCAAGTATTCAAAGTGATAGATTGCTCTTTGCTTCTCAATGAATTAACGTGCAACATCGAAATTACAAATGCCAGCATGAAAATCCACTCTACCTCTTTCATCAAGAGCACACGAATGCCACGGTAACTTGATGCTGTATCGAATCATCTCGAACATTCAGCCCATCAAGCCCGTCGAACAATATCAATTCAGAACATTCTGAACACCATCTTGGTAATTTCAATTTCGTGGCTCGTTGAGCTTGTTCGCCGCCGGAAATCTCTAAACCCAGAGGCAGAAAGATCTCTCCATTCCTAGGCTATTTCCCTTTATCCATCCACCTGCAGTCCCCTGGTAAACCGGCATGTATTCACGCGACAAGCTCTCCTCCAAGTTTTTCCATTTCGAAAGATGTGCTCCGCGCGCGCGGAAGCCTCGAGTCGCTCTTTCTACATCCGGTCGCGACGCTGAGGCTGCATATCGATCCCTCTCTCCGTCGTCCAACCCCCCTTCTGGCAGCATCCGCCAACTCGCACACTCCCTTTTCCTCGTCGTGGCTCTTTCCATCTGTTTCGCCCCTGCGTCGCCGTCGTCGCGAATGACGACAGAAACTCCTAATTGTACGAAGAAGAGCGGAATAGCTCTGTAGCCGGCCGCTGGGTCATGCTCTCTATATGTACACTCGTGTTCATAAGTGCACAGTCTCGAAACGAATGTTTTGATATTGTTACAGTTTAGTTTACTCTTGTTAACCGCTTGAAATAGTAAGATTTCAACTGTTGGTATCACGGTGTGGCATTCATGTTGACGCGATAATGTTACCTCATGTATGTACAACTGACTCGCGAAATTATAAGTAAAGTTTTTAATAAAAATCCGCAGTCTATTAATTTTCTAAAATAAGTCTAAAATATTAATTTTATAAATAATTTTCTAAAAAAGTCTAAAATATTTTAAGAACCGTAGGTTAACTCATGTATGGATTAAACGTTCAATTCAGACACCATGGTGTTACAAATATTGTTAAATTTGTTTGTACGGTGTTATTGAATTAATTGTATTTCGATATATCAAGACACATTTATTCTAATTAATATTGACTATATTACGAGTTTGGCTTTATTCATTGTTTCCCAAATTTAATTTATACAGATTCTCGAAGTGCAACCCTACCAATCACATGACTACTAGATTCCAATACCCTGTTCAAATTATTCAGTTAAATTACATATATAAATTGGATAAATACTATAAAATTAAACAACAAAATTACGCAGAAGAAAATTCTGAGAAGACCATTTTATTCGAAACGAGTAAATGATTTTCAAAACTTTCGAATCAACTTCGACTTCAGTATAATACAAGTAATACAAGTTATTTATTGGAAGCATGCGCACTCACGGAAGAGTATACATGAATTTATGTTTTCATAAATGTTCGAATCCACTCAGTTTTACAAATGTCTCGAAATTGTACTTATAAACAGGAATGAAAATTGTTTATGCAGACGTCAACGAAGAATGTCATTCGAGCAAAGACAAAGGATCGGAGAGGGAGTATTCGCTAGGAATTATTTTTAAAAAAAGACGCTTTCCGACTTGAAGTTTCACGTCCGTCTCGGACGCTCGTTTTTCAAATGCGAAACGCGCGCGCACCCTTCTTCGCTTCGAACTCTCTTCCTGCCTAATTCTACAGTTCTTCAGAAATTGGAAGAGGTGTACGCGCGCGAAAGTAACGCTTTCAAACGTTCTCTCCTCGAAGAGATTCCGCTTCGTTTTTCCTGTTTGCTCCGCGAGACTTTGTGGTGTCGGCGCGTGAAGTCCCCTTTCTTCAGGTGTTCGTTAGATAACTGCCGTCCATCATTCCTACACGGCAGAGTTTGATCAAAGATTCAATGTTCCATTGTTACTTTGATCGTCGAATATTTTATTACTATAGTTTAACAACGTTTGAATTCAATTGATCTTTTAACTCATTTCAAGACACATTGATCTAAGAATTAGATTGCGGATGTTTATGCATTTCTGGGAAATTTATAAAGACGAATTAAATTAGATTATATATTTAAATCATAACAAACTAGAATAACGAAAGATTAAAATAGAATAAATATTGTTCAGAATATTTAGTGTATGAAATTATGGAACAAACATGCCTTTAAACTTCAGTTTTTTACTTGTGCTCGTGAAATTGCATAAACAATCTATGAACGCAATCTATAAACAGCTACTGATTTTCTTTATTTTTTCTTTTTCTGTATTTATTACGTTTTGCAGTAAAATTATATATTGAATTTTTTTATTACACTTTATTGCAATCGTAATGTTGCAATTGAATTGATTCGTTAATAAACACAAATGTTACACTCGTGTCAGTGAAATTTTTAAATTTTTCCAATTAATATCCACCGAATGTGCTCTTTTAATTAAAAACGCATTAATGGAGGGTACAAATTACTGCACTCGTCTACACTGTCGATCAATACCTTGGTACAACCAGTAATCCTTCCAGTAATTTATATAAAATCCTTGATAAGTCTGTGATATCTGATTAACTGAAAACAAGTCTGTCACACGTGAAACAATTGAAATTATTTTACGCATGACAATAATTGAAAATTAATTATTATTATCAAGTATAAATTAATTAACAACGCCATTTTAATATTTACTTATTTCTTAGATTTTATTTATCGACATTGCTCGTGTAATATAAGTCAGAAATATAGTGTATCGTACTTTTAAATTCAATGAAAAGCACCGGCACAATTCATCTGGTAATTAAATGCTACAATTGAAATGGCCCGGTGCCATAAATTGACTTTCACATAATAAACGAATGTCGTGATTTTGGTTCTTGGGTTAACGAGACTTCGATAACAGGATTCGATTGTTGGAATGGCCTCGACTACCCGGGGGTCAGTCTTGCTATGAATAGAACGAAACTCGGATAATCAGAGCTCTACTGTATATCTTATCCAATAGCAAAAGGATATGAGCTACGATACTATAAATGTCTACTATAAATACCACAAAGGTTTATGCCTCTTTGCCATTGAATGGGTGGCCTCATCGTGGTCGCGTGTCGCTGTATCACGATCTAGATATGTACGCGATAACACAAAAAAAAAAAAATGTTACAATTCTATTTTACGCAACACATGTCCATTGTTTCAACGTTTACGATGAACGTCTTATCATGCTCGATGCTTATCTCGTTTTTACGAAATTTCGGTTGCCCTTAAATGACTCTTGTAATGACAGATAACGTTTCTTCGAATGAGATTAATCAGATTTTGTTCAAGTGATGAATGATCTACTTACAGTGGCCTATATTCATTCGTTCAAAATATAAATATCTAATGGAGGTTGCAATACAATTACAAGATCTTTTTGAAAACGATAGAGGAACGAAAAAAGATTCAATAATAACCCGAATAATCCAAAAAATATTTGAAAACTTTCTGCTTCCCCGGATCGACTTCTGTTTGATGTTAAAATTTTCTACGTTACTC